CACGGGAGGGCGGCGTTGGACTAAGGGGGGGTGCAGGGGAGGGCGGCGTTGGGCTAAGTGGGGAAAGACGAACCACAAACGAGTGAAGCTGCTGCCAGGGCAAGAGTGTACCAGACATAGAACTGACCGAAAGGCGTCCGTGAAGACCGCGACCTCGGGATGACGAAGTGATGATGATGTCGGAAGAACACACTACCTACCTAAGCCGCCAGGACTACAAAAGCAGTAATGCCAAGCCGTAAGGAAGTAGGTGTAGGAAAGTCGAGGCGGCGGAGAAGTAGTAAAACACTGGTGTCGTAAAGCTGGAATAAAGTTTGGGCAAAATTTGTTTGTTTCCATTATTTATGATTTATATCCGTGGTGTTTTTTTGTTGACACACAACGTAGCAAATTCGCTTTTGCGATGGAGTTGTAAAAGTGGTGCTGCGTTGTGATTTTGTTCGCGGGTTGTTGGGATTGGTTGTACGAGCCGTTGTTTGTTCCGTTGGCAGTGCCTCTCGTGACATTCTTTGTGCTGTACTCCAAAATATATCACGGATGGCGCATTTGATATGCAGTGTATCTTGATGATGAAACCGCTTGGGATTTGTTTGGCAAGATGAAGTCGTTTGTCGTACGTTCGACGGGATTAGGGTCTGGCCCACGTTATCGATCGCTTGCGAGGTGTTCCACATCCACGAACAAACAATTATAGCTTGACAATAATTATATATGTATTCAAAGATCTTTTCGTAGGTATCTGATACATAGCAGGTGTGGTGGATCTCGCCGCCGCATCGGACAAACCGCATGCGCTGTGCCTTTTAGAAGACCTGGCACTCAGCGCAACATGTATGTGTAGCTATTACAGAGGTTAAGAAATTACCTTAAGAGTTCAGAAGCGCGGAAAAGATGGAGTATTCCAGTGCAGCGCCGCCTCTCGTGGCCAGTAAGTCGTGGCTATAGTAGAGATCGTCCAAAAGGATATTCTGTGTGCGCGCGTACCATCGAATTGAGTGGTTTTCTCACTCCCTGTATGCAACTGTATCATGCTCCGCACAGGGCGATATGTTTTGAAAAGAGCTGCCGGGCTTGGTGCGGATGCATCGCGATGCCGTCGCGGTGCAGCAGTTGTCCGCCCCTCCGTGTGTAAAGCCATCGGTAAGTGTTATGGTCGGGGTTTTTAAGAACATAATAGGCAAAAGGAGCCTGCAGGCTGCGCGTTTTCCTGGGAGAGATGTGTATAGCTTTTTCTGCCGCGCACGTCGTTGTAGTATATTATGTGGCTTTCCCTCTCGCGCACACATCACAGGCACACACACACAATAATAATAATAATATTAATAATCGTAGATTCGCTGTCTCCTTCTCTGACTCTTGACGCGTGTATTACAGTAGGTGATTTCGCCGCCGCCTTCATCAGGCAAACCGCGCACGCAATTCCTTTTATTAGCCCTGGGACTCTCACAGCTGCTATATATATAGAGAGATTATATAGCTTATATTAGCAGTCCAGCGCCGCGCATAAGAGATCGATTTTGTATTCTAGTGCAGCCGCCGTGCATCGTAGTCTCTATCTATACAGGCGCTTGGGGGTCACTGAAAAACGGTGGACAGGCATCCTATCTAAAGGTAATGGCACATAGAAAGGTTTAGAAAGCGTCCGGGAATTGGGGCATAGGTGTGTGGCGATATGTTGGTTTTTGAGGGCGTGGCCTTCGGGGGAAAAGATGAAGAG